GGGTTTGTGTTGTACAGTGGGGGGTTTGATGGGAGCTTGAGGGTTTGGTGGGTGGCTAAGGAGTGTAGGGAGGATGAGGAGGGGGATGAAGAAGTGTGTTGTGCTGGTAAGATAGGAAGATTTTGATCGTGAAGTTATAATAGATACACGACTCGTACAGGTGTGATTGATTTTGGGTTTTTATGCATGGGGATTGATATAAGTTGAATAGTTTCTATAATGATTAGGGATATGTACAAAGCTTTGGGTGCAGTTTGACAATACATCAATTGAGAGCTGTTCTATTTTGTTTGTCCAAGCTCTATTTTGTATCAGATTGCAAGAGCTATGCGCACGCTCATAAACTCCTAGAGGAGGAGGAGGATATCTCAACTTCAACTCTCAAACTGGCCCGTCCACTTAAAGAGGAATGAAGGAAACAAAAGCAACATTCTTTTCTGAAGTTAAAATTCTTTTAAGGTGGGGTCTGAAATAAAATAAGCATAAGAAATTAAGAATAATGTAGAGTTAATTCACCAAAAATGGAACAAAGCGGATAACTTTATTCTTCTTCATGCACTAAAGAGCCCATAAGCTCTTAAGTGGGAAACTGTAGGGACTGCTTAATCTGGATCCAATCGCCCACAGGCAGCACTAACATATGTATCCTGTAGATATTTTGAAAAGGTAATCTTGGTTCCAACTTTTATATCTTTATTATGTTATTATCAAGGGGGGAATATAGTAATACAGCAAGCTCTCTTTATACACAAGTTGGAGTTATTAAAGTCGATTGTCAAAGCAATTTTCTAGAACAAATCAGTATCAGGAACTCAACAGCCACCATTTGTTAGATATCCTTTGCGAGTTATTATTGTATTTAAACATCTTCTGTTTGGCTAAAATTCAACAATATGCATGGCTGATTCTTATCTGGGTGAAATGAGACACTAACTTAAAATTATATCGAGTTTGCTAAATTCAAACATAAGTATCCGCTATTTAATATTATCTTACTTCGTTAATTGTTTAGAGGCTGCTGTCAGCCTTTGAACAACTAAGACATGGAAGCGTTGTAGATAATTTGAGTAGGTAAAGCTTGGGATAATTTCAATGGCAAGACAAGCTTGAACTCGAATCTTTCAGCTTATATAACACGAGGCTGAAAGATACTGAAAGGTCTAGCGCTACATTAATCTATTCAGATATTCGATGTTATATTTTAAAGAATTTGGTGCGTATGAGCATCAGCTTCACTACTTGAAGAATCAGCTTCTGACAGATATCCTCCCAACTAATGTCCGCATAACCGCCCTAAATTTTTTTATGCCAAGAGTTTGCGTTGCTCTTTCCACCTAATTGTAGGTCAGATGCGATTTAGTTGTGAAGCTTGGGTGTTTGTGGGGCAACTTCAAAACAGGACTTAGTCTGGACTGATTTTTTTTTATTAATAAGGTCAGGGTCAAACCGTACAAGAGTTGATCCACAAAAGAACTAGTTGACAAACTAAAAACAAGATTTTGGACCAACGTTGTTCTGTGGAGTCCCCAAACACAGCCAAATGCTTTAGATTCAATCGCTATAGCTCTTATGCTAATAAATAGGTAGCATATCAGCTTAGAGATACAACTAACAGAATGGTAAGCGAATGGAAATATTTGGATCATTTTCAAACTTTTATTCTTTGGAGGCTTCAGAATTCCAAATTCGAAAACTATATTTGACATCACTACTAAAATTGAGATAATCTCAAACTAATCGGATGGTTTCCAAGGGAAAAAAATAAAAGAAAGAAAATAAGAAAAAGAGGCAGCAATTTCATTAACAATCCGACAAGATAACAACATATATCTGCAACCCGGCACATGTCATGAGACAACACTTTGGACAAAATAGTTTTTGAGGCGTTAGCTGGGATTGAGTGATGAAAACAATAAGAAAATGAAAGGTTTTATAAGCAAAGCAAATATAAGATTCATCCGTCCAAGAGAGAAGCACAAATGCTGCTTTATACTAATATATGATCAGAGATTATTCAAATTTGCAATACGAAATTCATACAGGTAAAACTAGAAACAAATTTTAGCGACGAGCATTCCTTCCTAGACCCCAATATAGATAGTGGATACTAATTTGAAAAGGTTTTCTCTACTAAACATACTTCTTGAAAAACACATTACACACAAATACCTGAACTAATTTGTCATAATCAAACCTGCAATGCTTTTACGAGTGGATCTCTGAACAAGAAAACACTTCCATGTATCGGGTCCTCCACAGTTTGAGGTAGCTATTGTTGTGGCGCTGTCAGCTGCCTCAGATTGTACTTGGAGAGCTCTTTATACCTTTCAGCTACCCCCACCAAGCAAATTGTCTGTAAAAAAGCATACATGTCTAATCGTGTCTTGAACAATAGATAGCAACGATAGAAAAAGACTATCCAAAACTCAGTTTTGCTTGTTGCTGATAATATGACATAATATATAATAACTTTCTGATGATTCAGTAACTACAGAAGTTCTGGTAAATCATACATACCACATATGAAGTACATAGTACATACTATACACAGACATATATCTGCTTATAAAAGCAAGATTCAAGCACGGATCAAGAACCAGAATATGGAGCCAGTCACAAATCTAAAATGTGTGTTTATTAGAGAAATCTAGCAAAAGCATATACATAGAACTATGTAAAAGGATATTTAGCGGCGAAAGAATAGGCAACAGAACGCTTTTTTCCAAATGGCTCGTCTTATTATTCATTGAAACCACTGGCATGTTTGAAGGAATGGGAACAAATTCCATTGGGAAATACCTGATTGTAAGCACTCAGAGATACTGACTTCAACAAAAAACAAATACAGAGCCATCAAAGTTTTACTTTGTTGATATATACCATGGGCATATTTGCATACATGCGTACATTACGTGAAATCAAATTCTCAAAAGTTATGTATGGTCTCCTTCTGGATATATATGCCTAGGCAGACTTCTATTTGACATTTACACTAGATATGCATTATTCTAAACTTCTGAACTTATCTATCGATGCACTCTAATTTTCACTGTATCCTCTACTTCTAATTTTATTTTCAAACACGTACAAAAAATCCGAAGAACTAGATAATCTCTGGACATCTGATCTTGTTTTTGCATATGTTATCATTCTCTTCTCTAATAGGAGGTCGAAAAAGATATCTCATTTCTTCTTCTGTCAAATAAATGGTTTTGAGTCCATTTAGCATGCCCACAAATTATATATTTATTAAACTATATTTATTATACTACATATGCACCTTCATCATACCACTACAAAAACATAACCCAAGCGACGTACACCCAGCAGAGCTGGTACTCTAACAGAAGTTTGCTGGTAAGAATTGTATGGGTCCATGTAGGAGATGCCGAAAGTTAAAAGAAAAAAAAAGGAGTTTGAGAACCTATTACCAATATATCTGTCATCTTCCAACGCGTCATTATAGTTCAGCCACATAAATACTTTGATTCCCATAAAAGAGAGAAAAAGTAATCCGTATTCCGCGTCCTTATTATGATTTCAACGAAATTACAAGAAAAAACATCTTTACATTTCAATATTTTACGTGGACTTCCACTCAAGCAATTATATGACAAAATCAGTTTTCTGCATAAGCTTAGCTCAATTCATAAGGATTGCAAATAGTCCAACATAAATATGGAGGCATGGTAAGATTTTAAGGGTTTCCAACCAAAAATCAAGCAGTCAAGCACAAAAATGGTAAGGAGGTCATCAAATAGATGTTTAGCAGGCTTTTATGTAGTCGGTTTGGATATGCCAATGAGGTGATAAGATTACCATCCTCGGAGAACAAATGAGCAGTTAAACTAGTAACTTATGAATTAATTCCCATCCTTGACGACTGCCCTTAACATGCATGATACCCATGCCCAAATACAGACCTGATATAGCATGCAGATACAGAAGACGAAGCTCTTTGAATCATCAACATAATCCACAACCCTATAATATCTACATGTATATGATGGAATTATACATGTAGAAAATTTTCAGAAAGAAACATTACTGATAAGTGTTCATGCACCTTATGTTTGTGACAGACCTTCAGTTCACAATTTCAAAGTCACAGTTGTAACATAGGACACAAATGCAGGATATGATATGTGACACAGGTATTCTCCGAATACCTACACAAAAGATATAAATGTGTATATACATATGTATACATGTACATGAATTTATGCATAATATCCTTAGTTCATATGCATCAATCCTAAAGCTTCAAGATAAATCTGAAATCTCTATAAAATTGCTAGAAATAAGTTTTGGAAGAAAAAGAATTATCTTTGAAACTAGATAAAAACAGAAGGTTATATTGAATATAACATTTACCTATATATTTTCTTAATAAGCACACAATCACACAAATAACAGAGATACGCATAGTACAGATACGTATCCTTAATATATGTTTCTCAAAAATGTATCCTTAATATATGTTTAATCATTTATGTTGATTTAAGATCAAAATATAAATAAAATGTTGGTCATGGTAATGGTGACCAAAATTTCTAAAAATTGCCATCCAGCAAAACACGAAGTCAAAGTAGTTTTTGATGCGACTAGAGATAGTTCAGGAAAGTGTCAAGAAATGTTTATAGGACTCACAATGTTTCCTGTTTTTCCAAAACAAGATAGGTTAATAATCCGGAACTGATTTCACATACACAAAGTGTTAATAACTACTTTCACAACCAATACAATATAGAAATCAAAAGACACAGAGTGGGAAGATGAGATGAAGACAATTGTCTCCAAGCAATTGGTCCTGAATTTTATCCCACCATCCACTATGGTTGGTCTCTAGGGGAATTTTCTTTATGATTGGGTGGTGTGTGCTGGGGTGGATGTTGTAATAGGCCCAAATACCCTCGTCAGTAACAAAAATAACAAGTTAAAAAAGAAGAAATCCATTTAGGATGCATTTTAAACTTTCACAATTAAAAATATTAAAGCGATGCACACCACTATGACAAGCAATAGTGACCAAAATCTGGCGCATATGTAAGTTTATAGCTCTGATACTAGTCAAATGCGTGCATCCTCGTGTCCCTATTACCATAAACAACAAGATGACTTCCACTTATAGGTTGTTATACCAGAACTTGGATTGTACGGGTCACACTTAAATCATCCAATATTGGGGATACAACTCTGTCGAGATGTATATATTAATTAGAAAATAGAGTAGTTAGCAATATCCCTTTAATTGTGGGATTTAAATATATTTAGAATAGTTAGTTTCCTGATTTATAAATTGTTTAGTTTCCTATTCTAGCGCATGTATCTTTTTTATATATAATAGGCTGTAATTTTGAATTAATCAATGAGAAAATTAGAATATTTTTCTCTCCTATTTCCGCAACATGGTATCAAAGCCCTAGGGTTCTTGATCTGATTTTTTTACAGCTTTCGTCGTTGTAATTTTTCTTTTCTTCCTTCGATTTTTTCCGATAATCGTTCTTTCACAGCCTTCATTGCTGTGATTTTTTCCATCTTCTTTATCACATCCTTTATTGTTGTGATTCATCCTTTTTTCCCAAAACAATGTCTACCTTCGAAACATCCTTATCCGAAGAAGCGAACTCCACCTAGAAAACTGGCGATCTACAAAATATTAGGGCCTACTACTTAATGGAAAAAACTACCCCAAGTTGTCTCAATTTGTCCGCACATACCTAAAAGGCAAGGGAAGATTAAGTCATCTTGTTGGGCCAGCCCAGATAAACGTGATCCAATATTCGGAGCTTGGGATGAAGAGGACTCAATGATTATGTCGTGGTTGTGAGATTCTATGGACCCAACAATCAGTGTCACTTGCATGTTTCTTGTCACTGCCAAAGAAATATGAGATTTTATCCATCATACCTACTTAAAGGACCGAGATGCAGCAAGAGTATATGAGTTAAAGATCAAAACATGAGCTACTAAACATGAGAACAAAACAGTGACAGAATACCCTAATCTTTTGTAAAACATGTGGCATGAACTCGATCATTACCGCTATTTGACATAAAGGGTGCCGATGATGCTGCACCTCTGAAAAACTTTATTGAAAAAGATCGTGTGTATGATTCTTTGGCTGGATTAAATCCTGAGTTTGATCAGGTTCAAATACAGATTATTGGCAAGGAGGAACTCCGTATCTTAGAAGAGGCAATCTCTTTTGATTAGAGCATAAGAGAGTTGAAAGGATGTAATGCTTGAGTCTCCAACCATAGAAGGGTCAGCCTTAACAATAAAGGGAGATCAACCGGAGGGAGTAAAAAATAATAAGAACTATGGAAAAGACAATCAGTGGAAGGAAAATAAAGACAACATGTGGTGCACCTACTGCAAGAAGCCGAGACATACGAAAAAAAGGTGCTAGAAATTAAATGGTAAGCCCCCAAGCCATGAATGGAGAAACTATGGAGGACAGCAAAAGTTTCAACCAAGGTTTCCATCCCAAGCACACTTGATAGAGCAGCCCAAAGAAGAAGACAACATAGATAAGAGAGGATTCAATAGTGAGGAGATAGAAAAATTAAAAATTTTGCTGGGATCCATTGAAAAACCTTCTGGATCATGTTCTTTAGCCCTCTTAGATAAATTTTTACCCCTATTTGCATGAATATCTCAGACAAGTTTTATGTCAATTCTTGGGTCATTGACTCAGGTGCCACAGACCATATGACGCACTCTTCCCAATTTTTTCATACTTATACCCCTTGTCCTAGTAATAGAAAGATTGTCGTGGCAAATGGTTCTTTAGCTATGGCCTAGGGCATATCTGTATTACACCATCTCTTATTCTTAAAATTTTGCTTCATGTGCCAAAGCTCTCAAACAACCTCGTGTCAATCCATAAACTCACTCGTAACCTTAAATGTTATGTAACTTTTTTTCTCTTCCTATTGTGTGTTTCAGGATCAGGAGTGAGGGAGGAAGATTGGATTGGCTAAGAAAAGAAATGGTCTCTATCACCTTGAATCTTCTCGGAGCATTATGAGTAATTTGTTTGTGTCATTTTTAGTTCTTCCAATAAGGATGTCATATGGCTTTACCACCTTCGTCTAGGTCATCCTGCATTTATAGTTCTAAAAACCATGTTTCCTCATTTGTTTGAAGGATTAGACATTTCGGTTTTTCATTGTGAAGTTTGTGAGTTAGCAAAGCGCACTCATGTATCTTTTCCTATCAATAATAAAAGAAGTTCTATGCCTTTTCATTTAATCCATAATGATATATGGGGTCCCTCTCCTGTCTCAAATGTCTCTAGAGCTCAATGGTTTCTTTGATTAATGATTGTACTAGGGTTATATCTGTATT